AATGGCACTCTGAAAGCCAGAATGCTTAAGATGTCCCAAGAAACTAACCTACCCTGGCCGGAGAGTCTTCCCATAGCATTGTTTAGTGTAAGGTATATCCCAAGAGGGAAGTTTAACTTATCCCCCTACAAAATCTTATTTGGAACAGCACCCAGGTTAGGCTGTTACTTTCCTCAGCAACTTCAAATTCAGTCAGATGCAATGGTAGATTATATAACTGCTCTCTCTCATGCCTTGACCAAAATCCATGCAAGGTGTTTTCTTCTATTCCAGATCCCGAGACAAATACGGGCACACATAAGTTACTTCCTGGTGACTGGGTCATGTTCAAGAAGTTCCTAAGAAAACACACTCTTGAGCCAAGGTTCGATGGTCCATTCCAGGTTCTATTGACTACATCTACCTCTGTAAAGTTGAACGGGAAGAATACCTGGATACACGCCTCGCACTGCAAGAAAGTTCCTGATCCAGGGGAAGCAGATTCCGCCAAATCATGAGCTTCCTGTGCCTATGTCTACTGCTAGGCCTCTTAAAGGCCCAACAAGTTGCTATTACCAAAGATAGTCATGTCTACACATTTTGGTATAATTCTTCAAACACACACGTAGCTACTTTAACCTTTGATTACTGTGATATTGTCTCTTGTACTTTTCCACAGTCACAACACTCAGCAATATACAAAGACATACCAAACAAAAAAGGACCCATATATTTGTGTGACAGGTGACATCACTGTAGTACCTGGAAAGCAGCGGGTTGGAATACGGGCCGACCATGGGGCTACAGATAGAGTTGACAGATATGGGAAACCCTTGTTATACAGAATGACCTTGTGCAAGCCAACAAGGTCTACCCTAGTGAAGGTCACCTTAAACATAGAACATCCTAGCCCAGGAGACGCTGGGGAGTATGTAATGGGAATGTATTGGAAAGGGGGTGGCTCACATAACAAGTTGGGGACCTTCTATTTACAAGACATGCTTACATCACCTGACTGGGTAGGCTCCACACACACATGACCATTAACCCTCTCAAACCTCACATTAAAACCCTTAAAGACATGGTGGCCATTGCCAATCCCACATTTGAAGACACTATGGCTGTGGAGACTGGGTTTTCAGATACTAATCTATGGCTTGAATGGATGAGGTACAATGCTAACTCACACAATAAAACTGTTATGTTTGTGGTGGGGCCAGACCCCATCTGGGTACAGTGCCTTTAAATCTACCTCCAGATGTCAAAATGTGTTTAAGCCTCTATGCACAAACAGCAGTAAACTCAGTGTGTGAATCATAGAAAAAGGTTTACCCAATAACCCAAGGGAATAACAAGCCACGTGATGGAGTCATCGTGTACCCAGGTAACTACACTTGCTACACCATACATGGAGCTACAGGTAAATTTGTAGGTAAATTCCCTTCTGGCTACTGTACCACTTATCGAGAACCTCCCACTGCCCTATTAGTAAATCAAGTAAAGTCCGTGGGAGACATTTATTGGCTATGTGGTGACATGCAGCTCAGATCAAAAATGGTGGGCAATGAGTAAAGGAGAGAGAAGTAAGCAGAATGTGAAGTAATAAAAAAAGGAGCTACTGTGAAAACAAGATGTAGCCCCCAGCAAAAAGGAAGCAGGAGGCTTATTCAGGAAATCATCAAGTGACTAAGATTTAAAAGGTAAAAACAAACACAGAAAATCAATCTTGTCTCTAAAGTCCAGAACATATGGTCAGTTACACACAAATCACTCAAGATTTGTTATGATCAGTTGCACAAATTGTTTAATAAGTTAATTTTTCTGGAAAACTTATTTTATTAAATAAGGTGTAACGGACCGTTTTGCGCACAAGGGGTAAAAACCCGTTTAGGCGATCGGCCCCCTTTCCAGAGATACAGGCACAGCTACTGCAGAACACCAAACTCCCAAACTGGATACAAAATAGCACTCCAAATCCCGAACTGGAACCTCCCAAATAGCTGCTAGCAGACGAACAGGAAAAGCAGACAATCAGCTTACACTCCTGGCAATCAGTCTCTAACAGCATACAGTGAATCCCCCCAAGAACGAGACAAGGCTCCGTGTTGAGGGTCAAGCAGTGGTCTCAGGTGCTGGCACACCCAGCCTGGTTTTTATTACAGTCTTGCAAATACAGGACCGCCCACAGGGAGGTATAAAAAAACCAATCACATCACAGTTACATCCCACATATTCCCTCCCCTTATCCTGAGAGGAAACTCAATTATACATACAGTTAAAACATACTTTCTACCCAACTTTCATAACTCCAAAACCATACATCACATTCACATAAAATTACATATTCACAATCAATCCATTCAGGGAACAACATATTCAAAAATGGCACAAATCAGACAAGGGGTTCAAAAGTTAGTAAAAAGTCCTTTGTGACTAAATGAAGCATGGCTTTCTGGCCCAAACCAGTTTCAGAGTCTTCTATCCTGGAGATAAGTAATTTAATTATCTCCCAGGACGGACACAAGACTCCATTAAGCACATGGTTGCAAAGAGACACAAAACACTTTAAAATACATAAAGTCACATTTATTACATAAAACACAGACATGTAACATATCCCCAGATAGCTCAGGTCCGAGCGCACATTATTAAGCGAATGGCGCTCAGACCACACGAATACAGTTTAATCGCCATGGAGCCAAAAGTCTTTACAGTCAGTTTCATACGAATGGGCTCCATGGGATTCCTATCTGGGGTGTAACACATTCAAACAAATCTACCGAACCCCAGGCAGAAAAGCACGAAGGAAGCTTTTCTGCAGGTAAAAAAAGATGTCTTTTAACAGGGGGCCATAGTCCAAAGGCAGCAGGCGAGCAACCAGGCTTCTCCAATGCAATGTGGCGAGATTGGTCTCGTCACATAAGGTAAAGAGATAGTAGAGAGAGAGTGTCAGGTTGCTGAGTTTTAATGGGGGGTAACCCCTAGGCATAAATTAGCTGAAAGGAAAAAAAATACAAGAAATCCAAAATCAGGGGGAAGGGGGGGGAGGGGGGATGAAAAATTATATCTAAAAACAAAACCCCCCCTAGAAGTTCTTGTAATGTACCAGCAACCCTAAAGTAAACTTCTCTCTAAGAGAGATAAAATATAACTTTTAATTTAATTAGTTAAGATAACCAAAAAGTGAAAAAACCTAAGAAAATAATAGTGTGCCGGTGCTGCCTCTGTCTTATGGCAACACCTGTAGTGAAGGGATGTCAGGGGTATGAATATGAGGGCACTAAAGTGAGTAGTATCAAAGGTCCCAAAAAATATGTCCCCAACTCCCATCACTCTTTGCCCCCGAAACGCGCGTCAGGAATTTTACTAGCTAGAGGCTGGAGGGGGTTAACAGGGGACTATGCTGCAGCTATTATACTTTATTTACTCCAGTTTAGCCACCCAGTTTAATGATTTTATAATGTATCATTAGGTAGCCGTGTTGCAGAGGGAAAGGAGATTTTGCCACCACGGTGGCAAAGAGTGATGGGAGTTGAGGGGACATTTTTTGGGACCTTTGATACTACTCACTTTAGTGTCCTCATATTCATACCCCCGACATCTCTTCACTACAGGTGTTGTCATAAGACAGAGGCAGCACCGGCACACTTATTTTCTCAGGTTTCTGTACCTCTCAGTATTTTATATATTTATTTTTCACTTTTTGGTTATCTTAACTAATTAAATTAAAAGTTATATTTTATCTCTCTTAGAGAGAAGTTTACTTTAGGGTTGCTGGTACATTACAAGGCCTTCTAGGGGGGTTTTGCTGTTAGATATTTTTCTTTTCACCCCCCTCCCCCCTGATTTTGGATTTCTTGTATTTTTTTCCTTTCTTTCATCTTATTTTATTAAACTCTTATTTTTTTGTACGTTACTTGTTGATCTTTTCTTTTCTTCGTTAAATTATCAAAAGACCTTATGGTTAGTCATCATAACATGAAACCTGAGTTAAATCTGGTGAGTTATGCGATGTTATAATACAGCAAATGATTAGGTATAGCGTTGCATCCTATACAAATGATCCAATTCAGTGTAGTATAAGTTGATGGTGAACCAAAATCAAATTCAAAAGGTGCTTTGTTTTATTAATAAGCAGTTCCTGAAGTAGCTGATTAATTTGTAATGCTTGACTCTGGTTCCACATGATAAAATGAGATTTAGTGAACACGATTGCAGGAACACAGAAAACCCAGAATTTAAAGGCATCTGTTAATTGCTTGACTATTCTGACTAGGTTCCTAAACATTGTGAAATATTAAACTAATTGGATTCTTGCAATTTTAACCCATTCAGGACTAATGTCCAGTCAATTTCTCACTTTTTTGGTTTTGGTTATAAACTTGTGTTTACCTGCAATGGAGCACAGATAATGATACTATCCACCCAAATTTAGTCTAGCATATTTCTTTATTTCTAAAACAATTCCCCACATTTATTTGTTTATTCACCCAATATAAGATGCCTACATGCCAGACGAGGTCCTCAATAGAGATGTCACAAACTGCTCGCCGAACTGTTCGCGAACTGTCCGCTGGCGAACAATAGCGTGTTCGCGTTGGGCGAACATATACGATTTCCGGTCCACCCCCTATTCGTCATCATTGAGTAAACTTTGACCCGGAACCTCACAGTCAGCAGACACATTCCAGCCAATCAGCAGCAGACCCTCCCTCCCAGGAAGTGTCTGCTGACTGAGGTTCCGGGTCAAAGTTTACTCAATGATGACGAATAGGGGGCGGACCGGAAATCATATATGTTCGCCTAACGCGAACACGCTATTGTTCGCCGGCGGACAGTTCACGAACAGTTCGCGACATATCTAGTCCTCATTGACCCTAGGCATACCTGATAACATATGCTTTATTGTGGTTATCACTTTAATCAGGTTCTACTTGTAAGGATTTATAATATATTTAATCCACTTTAATACATGGAGAGCAGCACACAAATACATTAGATAGATGGTTAGCAACCATGCTATGTTGCTCATTATTTGTAGGACCACTTTTTAACACTATGCCGTTTCACTACTTTAACCTAGCCCTAACTGTAAGTCTAACTCTAGCTCTGAACATTTTCTCAACCTAAGTATACACTATAAACCCTTCAGAGGATCCAAGACACACACATCAACATACACCCAAACACAGACAATGATCTGTAATCCCAGACATATTCAAACAAGCACACATAGAAACACAGTGGCATATAATAAGACACAATCAAATTATTTTTGTTAATTAACGGCGACCACATCTACATCTGCACAATAAATTTGTTGTCAAACTGCTGTATTTTGTGCTGATGCACATCTTTATTTTTTAATGGTAGATACTACCACCAGATGAGGGGGATTGTAATGGGGAAGGCCTGCCCAATCAAATGCCAAGTTTCACCTAGGTTTGTGGGAAGAATTAGCAGTCCTTGTAGATGAGATAATTAATTATAATAATTCTCACATGGAAATGTGATATTGATGACGTGATGATCATCTGGAAAGGTACTGAAGATAACCTCTGTGTGACGAACTGAACCTTGTCAAGGGTGCTTGGAGGGGCCTGCTGGCCAGCCTTTTACAAAAAGACTATGGGCCCTTTAAAAAACCATGTGAACAGACTTGGTTTGTGGAATTTTATCTTTGGTTCGGGAACCGAACAGCCGCATGAACCACTCTGGAGCTTGTTAAGCCTAATTACTACTACTGCTGCTACTTTGTAGTAATTTCAACCGCAGTGTTCTAATTGTTCGTCTGGTTGGCTGCAATTTCTATGGACGACCACGAGGTGGTGGCCATCTTGTTCGCATGAAAACAGTGGTCATCGAGTTCATGCAACTATTTTCGGACAATGAAACTCCCGAACACCGCAGGACTTCCATGATCGCCTGTGTTCGGTTTTATAGCACTTAGGAAGGCACTGTTCCAAGATATTCCTGAACCTCTAACTGACCTGGGTGATTTTTGGATATGTTGGTCACCCAGATCGGGGCTATAAGGGAATGTAACATTTGTGGGGATTTTGTGTGTTTAAAGGTATTTTGGGGGTTTTGTAAAAATTTATGTTTTCTGTGCTTGGAGATAACTGAGTTTAATACAGTGCTGACTCAATTATCTCACAGGCACAGGGGAGGGATTGACCTATTTTGTTTGGGAGTGTCCTGGACCTGAGAGCCAATGTAATCGTGTGTATGTTTTTACTGTAGTCTACTCTCAGGTCCAAGGGGGAGTACCCCTTGCATGGAGACCTGCATAAAAGGCCAGTTGTGGCTGCCATGAAACAGATTTGTTTTACGCTTCATGACGTCTAGGCTCATGTTTGGGGGACTGGAGAGCTATATTCACTCTGGGGATTGCTATAACACTATATTCCCTTGGCTTACAACGATTACTCTTGTAAGAGCAGCCTGCTTTGCTCTCTGGACTAGGAGAGGTCTACCCACTGGAAGCTGGATCTTGGTCTTGGGTCCAGGGTGGGTGGAGGACAGCGAGACCCCAACCAAGTTGCAGCGGGGTGGGGTTTACTGTGGTTATGGTGTCCGGTGCGATGCTTATGGTACTCAAGGATTACTAGGAAGGTGCCAGGTGGTCCGTCACACTCTACAAATTTGGTAACACTCTAAATGACAATCATTGTAATCTCAAATTTACAGCAGACATTGGAAATCCATCATTAATTTTTTATTTTTTTATTTTTTTTTTAGATAAAACACGAACAACTGAGGTTTGTGAGGATATTTATGGGGTGATAAATATTAAAAATTATATTTTCATTAAAATTATCAAAAATTAATTTAATTTTGATTATATCAAAAATGTATATCTTGGCACTGTCTCCCCGATTAACAATATAGAGCTGAAAATTACCCACTAGTTTAATTCTCTTAAATTCTAGAGGAAGTTTCACCAGAAGATTTTTATTCCACACATTTTTAGTCCATGAATTTGCCCACCTGGTTGGTCAATTGACCAACTTGACGCAAATTATTTCCCCCACTGCCGTTTTGTCCTTGCCCATTAGAATTAGGCTGGGATGGCTGAGACTGTTGGGAGTTATTGGAAGCAGATTGGTTGTTTCTGTTTCCATATCTCCTATTTCCCTGAGGATTCCTTCTCCATAGGGAATTGCCTTGGTTCTTGTTAAACCAGGGATGTTTATTCCCATTGGCATAGGACTTTTCAGAGTTATTATCAGAGGAATTAACAGGATTGCTTATGGCATTTTCCCGTTTCTGAGGTTGTGGAGTTTTCAAAACCTCATATAAGTCCTCTTTTTTTCTGTTGGGTTTCAAAACCTAACTGAATTTTAGTCTCGGACACCATTTTATCACCAGATTTCTTAACCTTTTGACAATTTTTGTCATGTGCATGGTGTATAGTATACAATTTCATGCACTGACTGACTAGCCATTCTAACGGTAACTTACAATCATAATCTCTTGCAAGATTCATTTGTATGTTTACCAGCCTAGCATGAAAATACAGATCTTTGAATTCTGTACTTTCATACCTGGTTTCCTTTGGGCGACGGAATATGCATTTTTAAGAATTATTACAAATTCTCTGAGGATTTGATCTGGACGACACTAAGTTATAAAGCTCTTTCCTAGCAGAAGCAATGGTTTTATACTTACCAAATTCCATGATTATCTCATTTTTTATTTTTGGGCAGCACATTAGCTGTATAGCTTGAAGACTCTCCAGATGAATACGGCATATTGAATCAAAGGTCCATGTAATGTACCATTTCTTATGGATGTCATCATACATGCCCAATGAATTCATGGCTCTTTCATAATTTTCTGGGTGCCCAGATATGTTTCAGGAACTTCTAGAAAATTGTGGGACTGTCTCTTTAAGGAATGTAATAATCTTAGGAGTTTCATAGACAGGCGTAGTTGATTTATGACTGTTTCTAGTTTCCCTGCTTTTAGGTAAATGTCTGTGCGATCTGGCTGCTGAAGACGAATTAGATCCATATAACAGTGCAGATGGCATAGCAGTTACGTGGCTTTCAGAGTGGACAGTGCAATCACTTTCACTCCCATCACTGAGCTTCTCATTCACTATCACAATTCAGATCAGCATCAGAGTTCTGCCAGTGTACAAAACCATGTCTGTATTCACTCCTATCACCCTGAACCTGATTGCCTGTCTCAAGTTTGGCCAAGACAGTCTTTTCAAACTGTTCTGCCCAAGATTGACAGATTTTGGCAATATCATGAGATGGGGAATCCTGTTCCACGGGTGTCTTCTCAGAATTACTCACATCTTTTCTTTGTCTGTTTTAGGAAAACCTGGTCTGGTGTGGGAAAATCATAATAACGAGGGGATTTACAGGTAGCCCTTTCTTGTAATTTTGTGCAACTTCTTGGCACATAGTGATGACTACTAACCTCACTGTCTGATTTTTGACTATCCTTTTCGTATTCTTCCAATTGCCTTAAGCTGATTTATTTCCTGTGCACATATATCCGTCATAGCTTTCATTTCATGATCAGCCTGACGGGTATCATGCTCAGCAAGTAATTCTTGGTATTTCCCATTTTGAATGCCCAGATCGTCTCTGTATGTGTTCAATCTGGTATTCAGTACCCTGTTTTTTCATAACGTCTTAACATGTCCTGACAAAGAAAGGCCAAGAGTGTATTATGTACCCTATTTTTTTTTTCTATGTTGGCTTGTTCTCAAATTAATTTAAGATGTCTTATGTGTGAATCTTTTAGAATGGTTCTATGCCCTTCAACCATTCATCATAGTCTAGTTCAATCTTCATATATTTATGAATATAGCCTAGAGCATGAGGTTGCAGTTCTTCAATTATTTGGATATTGTCTGATACAGATGGATCTCTGGACTCTGGTCATATTTCTATACACTGAATTAATCTCAATACAAAACTCTTTTCTATATCAAGATTAATATTGCATGAATTACACAAATAGCAATGCCTCCGAAATTACTGTGTGAAATATAATTTCAACTAATGATCTCAGCATTCTGTCTCCAAATTGTGAGAATATTTATGGGGTGATAACTATTAAAAATATTTTCATAAAAATTATCAAAAATCTAATTATTATATCAAATATTGATATATTGGCACTGTCTCCCCGATTAACGATATAAAGCTGAAAATTACCCACTATTTTAATTCTCTTAGATCCTAGAGGAAGTTTAACCAGAAGATTTTTATTCCACACATTAATCACAATTTAATTATAAAAATATAAATTTATTGTGACAATCATAATAAAAATATTATATGTAACATGCGTGACAATAATCAGTGAATATTTAGGTATAACAATTATACAATATGGCAATGGTTTAACACAACATAGACAGCTATATGCACAGTTGTCAACAGTTTAAAATTTACGACAGACACTTCATGTACCATTAATATACCGTTAAGCATAGGGGATAGAGAAGCCCTTGGAGGACTTTTTAATACGAGACATATTTGCTGATTGTAACCATCAGAGGGGCCACCCCTACTGTGATACCATTATAATTTTTATAAGGTTAACATTAACGTATATTTATGTCTCATTTTCAGGTGCAAGTAGCTCCAGTATGGAGAATTACAGAGACATATCCCATGATGTTTGTGGGGGAACGATTAAGTTGATAGGGCTCCACCAACAATTCAACTAGTCTCATTCATATCAGGGAAGCTCTGCCCTTAGTGGATGGACCATCAGACTTGTTGGCAAGATGGAGGACATTCAATATTTGATTTTTTTTTTTAGAGTAACAATATTGCATTTACAATATTAGTACTAACACATAGCTTTAGGACACTGAATATGATGTAATTTTAGTTACAATGCCTTCCTTACTTACTCACAACTTTTAGTTACTCTATTTCTTCTCTGATACATTGTATATACTCTTACAGTGAAAGTTATATATTTTCTATCCATTACCATAAAAGGAGTTCCTTTTAAAAATAACTATTTTTTTATTTTTTTTGTTGAACACACACAGAGACATATAGAGGCAAATACACAAATACTCTCTGACTGACACACACACACACACATACATGTTCTCTGACCCACACACATACACTCAGATATATAATCTTAGACATAAAGCTATTACATTGCATAATCCAACACAGTTTTCTTGCAGGCAGTGCACTGACATACTTTAACAAAACAGCAATGTTTAATTTTACCACATGACAGGAGGTGAGTATTTTGCATAGAACTCGCTTTACTAACTCCACATAGCAGTAAAGAAAAGTGAAAACGATAACCAAACAAAATGCAACAGGGTGTATAGTATTCACAGTGATGAGGCTCCTCCCCCTCTTTCTTTACTGCTCCATCAGCAGACAGGTCAGAGTTTCAGCTCTTCCCTCATTACGGTTTAATTGGTTATTTAACTTTCTTTAACTTTATTAATTCTAGCAATTATTCATTTTATGTATATTTGATGATTGTATTCTTGGTTATTTCTATGTTTTCTGGGGGTTTTTCTGCCCACAGGGACTCAGATCCCTGTGTTCACTACTACCCCTTATCTTTGGGGCTTTATTGCTCCCTCTCCCCGCCGGCCCCTTGTGGCTTTTCCCCCCGAGCTATCCGCCCTCCCCCCCGGCGGATCGCTCCTATTCCCCACCTCAGGGGTAACGCTCACCCCCTCCTCTATCCCTTCCTCGCGGTCTCCTAACCGCGCTCAGCCCGACTGGCGCGCACGGGGTTTTCTTGCCCGGCGCCGGTGGCAGCCATCTTGGATCTCGTGTCTCGCGAGATCCACGGCCGCCATTTTAGAAGCTCCCTGAGCTCCGATCAGACGGCGCCTGATGGCTACACTCACCCGGTCGCCCTCACAGCTTCCCAGGCAGCTCATTGTGCCCAAGGCAGGGGTCATCGGGTCAGTGAACCTTTGTCTGTAAAGCAAATCACTATAGGGTTTCTAAACCCTGCGCACCTGGGGTGAGATATATATATAGTGCTGCTTAAGAGGTGTGATACATACATCCTCCAAATACCTGGGTGCGGCCCAGTGACAAGAAAACCCAATTATACCCTGCTGGGGTACAGGTACTGCTGGTACCACGTGCATACTATTTAAACCTGTTTTATACCCTGCTGGGGTATTGTGGTGCTGCTGGTGCCACTGCACGCATTTATCATACACCCTACTGGGGTTGAATTGGTACTGCTGGTACCATCATTATACAGACTGACCCCTAGCCCAACCTGTGCCAAGTATAATATTTTTGTGGTCAATATAATAACCATGGATACATCTCAGAACAGATTTTCAAAATATGATCAATGAGGCTATTGCGGCCTCGATGGAGAAGGCACTCTCCAGGGTTCTGACGGCTTCTGCCGAACAACAAAAAATCCCCACTAAGGTCCAACACCAGGACTACGATTCCGAAGCTTCGGAATCACGCACACAAACCGATACCCGGCCCTCTAAACGCCACTGGAAGGGCAAAAAGGGGAACGTCAACCCCGACAAGGGCAAGACCCTTGTCAAACGACTTAAGCCAGCTCCTGCTGCCCTTCCCCAAGACGCCATTACTCCTCAGACGAGGAGGGGAGACAGACACTCGCCCCCATGGCGATTTTGGACTCATGGCAGGCCGTGGATTCCGATTCCCCAGAGGAGAATGCCTTGGACTCCGAGGACTAGTCACGCCCTGGTTTCCTGCAGGGAACCTTCATGGACGACATCCAACCGCCGGACGATCCAGCGCATGCGCAGGTCGAAGGGGAAACCATCCTGGATCCCTCGGGTCAACGTCTTTTCGACCCACGAAACATCCGACACTCGCGTTCAGGGGACTGGACACCCCCTGAACACCTCAAAGTTCATGCACAAGTGGCTACGCAAACCAATGGATAAGACGGTACGCAACCGCTTATGTTCCGAATGTCCTCGCCCTTCGTTACCAGACCAGGTGGCTCCAGGGCCGGCGCTACCTGTAAGGCGGACTAGGCAGCCGCCTAGGGCGCCCCTTGGGAGGGGGCGCCGCCAGGAGCGCCGGCCCCGCTCATCCTGCAGCCGCCCGAGCGCTCTGTAAAGAGCCTCAGGCGGCTGCAGCTTTGCCCGGGCGGTGCGTCCATGAGGGCGGACCGCACCGCCCGGGCGCAGCCTGAGGAGAGGCTGACAGGAGGGAAGCGCTCAGCGCTCCCTCCTGTCAGCTCCCTCTCTGTAGCGTGGCCGAGCCCTGTATGGCATGGTCCGACCGGTACAGAGAGCAGCTGTCTCCTGTACCCGGCCGGACTAACAGGAAGTGCACACTGAGTGTTCACTTCCTGTTAGTCCGGCCGGGTACAGGAAACAACAGCTCCCTGTACCGGTCGGACTATACTGGGCTCGGCCACACTACCACACAGGTAGGGGAGGGAGGGGGAAGAAAAAGGAAAGGGGGAGAAGAAAGAAAGAAACAGGGAGGGAGGGGGAGAAGAAAGAAACAGGAGAGGGAGGGAGGGGAGAAGAAAGAAACAGAGAGAGGGAGGGGGAGAAGAAAAAAAAGAGGGAGGGGGGAGAAGAAGAAAGAAACAGAGAGGGAGGGAAAAGAGGGAGGGAGGAAAGAGAAAAACAGGAGGAGGGAGAAAGAAAAGAGAGAAACAGGGAGGAGGAGAGGAGGAGAGGGAGAAGAAAAACAGGGAGGGAGGAGGAGAAAAAGAAAAGAGAAACAGGGAGGGAGGAGAAAAGAAAAAGAGGAGGAGGGGAGAAAAAGAAAAGAAACAGGGAGGAGAGGGAGGAAGAAAGAGAGAGGGAGAGGGGAAAAAGAAAAAGAAACAGAGAGGGAGGAGAGGAGAAGAAAGAGGAGGGAGAGGGGAGAAAAAGAAAAAAGAAACAAGGGAGGAGGAGAAAAGAGAGGAGGGAGGGAGAAGAAAAAGAAACAGGGAGGAGGAGAGAAAGAAAGAAACAGGGAGGGAGGGAGGGAGAAGAGGAGGGAGGAGAAAAGAAAAGAAAACAGAGGGAGGAGGGGGGAGAAAGAAAAGAAAAGAAACAGGGAGGAGGGAGAAGAAAAGAAACAGAGGAGGGAGGGAGAGAAAAAGAAAAAAAAGAAACAAGGGAGGGAGGGGAAAAAGAAGGGAGGAGGGGACAAAAGAAAAAAGGAAACAAGGGAGGAAGAGAGAAGAAAGAAAAGAAAACAAGGGAGGAGGAGGGAGAGGGAGGGAGGGAGAAAGAAAAAAGAGAAAACAAGGAGGAGGGGGAAAAGGAGGGAGGGAGAAACAAGGGAGGAGGGAAAAAGGGAGGAGGGAGAAAGAAAGAAACAAGGAGGAAAAGAAACAGAGAGGGAGGGAGGGGAGAAGGAAACAAGGGAAGAGGGGGAGAAGGAACAGGGAGGGGAGGGGGAGAAGGAAAACAGGGAAGGAGGGGGAAGAAAAGAAACAGAAGGAGGGGGAGGGGGAGGGGGAAGAAAGAAACAGGGAGGGGAGGGGGGAAGAAAGAAACTGACAGGGGAGGGGGGAGAAAGAAACTAACAGGGGGGGAGACATTGACAGGGAGGGGAATTGACGGGGAGAGAGAAATTGACAGGGAGGGGGGAGTGACAGGGGAGGGAGGGGGAATGAGAGTAACAAGGGAGGGGGGGAGAAGAGAGTGACAAGGGAGGGGGGAGAAATTGACATCCATCACACACACACACACAATCACACACAATGCACCCCTTACACACAAAGACAATGAACCCCTTGCACACACAAAAACACACAATGCATTACACACACAATGCATTACACACACACACGCAATGCAACCCTTACACACAATGCATCCCTTGCACACACAGAAACACACAATGCATTCCTTACACACACTCAATGCACCCCTTACAGACTCACACACTTCATCCCTTACATACACAGAAACACACCTTGCAGCCCTTACACATACAAACACAGATTCACACAATGCATTCCTTACACACAAATCAGGACATTCCCTACACACTCCATCCCCTGTGAACAAACTCATTGGTGGAAAATGAAGGTGGACTCTGGGACCCAGACCTTGAGCTGTGTAAAGGGCCCCCAAAAAATGGAGCTGCTTCTCGTTCTCCCAGAACATTGATTTGTGTGACCACAGTTACAAACAGCCTCCAGAGATCCTGTTATACACCAGACCAGTGGAGCCAGACTGCAGCTAGAGCCCATCATCATCCTCATCTGCTTGTAAGTAGGTAATCTAGTATATTATTCGTGGCACTAATCTCTAATTTACCTCACATTAAAGAAACACTATAGTCCCCAGAACCACTGCACCTTAATGTAGTGGTCCTGGTGTCTATAGCCTGTCCCTGCAGGCCTTTTAATGTAAACACAGCGGCACTGCAGCACTAGCGTTAGTTAACATGGCAGGTCATATGGGTGGGGCATTGCGATGTCACGGGGGGAGGAGGGGGGCGTCAAACTTTACTTTTGCCTAGGGCGGCAAAAATCCTTGCACCGGCCCTGGGTGGCTCAGACGCCGGAGTTTGACCAGGTCATGACCACCTTTATGTCTCGGGGTGATCGCAATCCCCGAAAAGGGGTGGTGAAGGGATTCCATGGCGTACAAGATAAGTTGCTGGATTCAGTCGGACCCCTCTCCTGTATCATGTACTTGGCGGATGACGCCCTCACATGAGCCGACCAGTTCGATACCAACATGGTACGTGAATGGGCGCATGATGTAAGAGAATGGGTGCAACGCTGTTTTTGTTTTGTTGGCAGCGCCAACGTGGCCCTCTCCTCTGAGAGGAGGAAAGCAGCACTACTCCGCTTAGACGGAAAGCTGGTGGATTTGGGCACCAGAGAGTTAGGACCACTGGCACAGGGCAAGCTGTTCGGGGACGCCTTCTTGAAGGACCCGAACAGATACGTGAATATGTTCACATCCCTTAACAAGGCTCAGACCTCCATGAAACGGGTCTTCAGGAGCAACCCCAACCGGGTGTTTTTGGGCGGGCTGGCCGCTACAGGGGCCGTGCAGCCAGCCGCTTCTGGCCTTCAGGCCCCCGCTCGCAAAGACCTCAACCGTTTTACAGGAAGTGGGCTACAGGCAGCCCTTCTCCTACACCAGGGGAGCCGACAGAGGTCGTGGATCACGGGGCCGTGGCAGAGCACGCTTCACCCCTACAGGTAAGCCGATATGTGACTCACAGACCCTTTCTGCACGAACGGCAGGTCATATTGCTCTTTATTTTCAGAACTGGACAACCATTTCGACGGACGCATGGATCCTGCAGACGGTACATGGCTACGTCATAGACTTCGTGGACCACCCGAACCAAGCGGTGCCTCCTTCCCCCTTGACCTGCTCCGTGGAGGACAACCGGCTCATAGAGAACGAGCTGTGGGAACTCTGATCGAAAGGGGCAATAGAACCCGCTCACGATCAGGGGGGCTTTTTCAGCAATATCTTCCTGGTAAGGAAGAAGACCGGGGAATTCCGTCCGGTCATAAACTTAAGGGGCTCAACGCGTTCGTCGTATACAGGCACTTCAAGATGGAAGGCATACATCTTCTGAGGGACCTCCTCCAAAACGGGGACTGGTTCACAAGACTGGACCTCAAGGAGGCGTACCTTTCAGTGCCCGTCCACATCGCCTGCCGCCGATTCCTCAGATTTCGGTGGCAAGACCTCCCTTGGCAATTCACGTGCCTTCCCTTCGGACTCAGTTCGGCCCTGTGGTGCTTCACCAAATTGCTGAAGCCAGTAGTCACACATCTTCGAGCACGAGGGATTTGTTGCATTATTTACCTGGACGATCTGCTTCTGTTCTGCTCCAACAAGTCCAGACTGACTCAACACACACAATTTACCGTAGACTTCCTGATGTCACTGGGTTTCGTGGTGAACTTCCTGAAGTCAGAAATATCTCCAGCTCAGACGGTGCAGTTTTTGGGTTTCGAGATAGACTCCAAGTCCAGCACACTACGATTGCCGACGGCAAAGATCGCAGCCATCAAAAAAGAACTACGCAAAGTCATTCGCTGCCACTCCATTCCGCTCCGCAATCTGGCTCGGATTGTGGGACTACTATCCGCGTCCATCCAGGCCATATTCCCGGGACCTCTTCACTACAGAGCGATGCAACGCCTGAAGACCTCCTTCCTGCACCGGAACCCTTTTTACGACCAAACAATCCCGATTACGGAGGAGGTCAAGGAGGAATTCAGATGGTGGCTAGACAGCATGGAGGCATGGAACGGCCGAGTCATCTTCGGGAGTTCACCCAACATAGTTCTGGAATCGGACGCCAGCCTTTGGGGCTGGGGCGCGACGGGCAAAGGCAAGTCGACAGGAGGCACCTGGACTTCTCAGGAAATCGACCTACACATAAATTGCCTAGAACTCCTAGCGGGCTCAGTCGCGATCCGCAGCCTAGCGAAGGACAGATCGAACTGTTGCATCCTTCTCCGGATGGGCGGAGCTCGGTCCCGACTGTTATCCGAAATAAAGGAAATCTTCAACTTCTGCCTACCCCGCAATATCTCCCTCAAGGCGGAATACCTTCTGGGGGAGACAAATCTGACAGCGGACTGGTTCTCACGTCACTGGCGGGACAGCAGCGATTGGAGACTGGATCCTCAGATCTTCCGATGCCTCTCAAACAGGAGAGGTCCCTTCCAACTGGATCGGTTTGCATCCCGCAACAACAGACAGACACACAACTACTTCAGTTGGCTTCCGGACCCGGAGAGCGCGGCGGTGGACGCATTTCTGCAATCATGGCCAATCGAGGGAGCATATGCCTTTCCCCCGTTCGCCATTATAGGGAGGACGATTCAATACCTGAAGAATCAACACTGATCTCTACTCCTCATCGCCCCCTATGGCAGGGCCAACCATGGTTTCCGGACCTCCTTGCACTGTCCTACGCTGATCCACTACTCCTACCATCCAATCCGATGCTCCTCACGGATCCGAAGGGGAACCCCCATCCCCTCATCCTCAAAGACCGCCTCGCCCTGGTGGATTGGACTCTTTCAGGGGATCCTGGCAAACCAGCGACTTATCGCAAGCGGCTAGAGACCTCATATGGGACTCCTGGGCACCCGGGACCAGACGATGCGATCAGCTTGGAATTCCTGGTCCTCTTGGTGCAGTGAACGGAATTTCGATCCATTTATTGCACCTGTAACACCCATTCTGAATTTTCTTTCCCATCTTTTCGCTACGGGTCGCTCCTACCGTTCGCTCAACGTTGAGTGTTCCGCGATTTCGGCAGCTCACGTCCCGACCTTAGGTATCCCCGTAGGGAAGGATCCTCTGGTATGCCATCTCTTGAGGGGTATCCGATTACAGAGACCACCAGGACCTAAAAACTCTCACCTGTGGGACGTGGAGATGGTCCTACGGTTCCTGAGAGACTGACCGACTAATGACAGACTGTCTCTCAGACAACTTTCGGCCAAACTGACCCTTTTGCTTTGCCTCGTTTCCTTCCGTCGGGTTTCGGACGTGCGGGCCTTTGACATCAACGCCTTTTCGGTCTCTCCCGAGGGAGTTACCTTCAGTAGATCACGACGTACCAAATCGGACTCTACGTCGGTCTTTTACCCCTTCTTCACTACCGACCCTCAACTATGCGTCGTCACTACACTGCATCAGTACGTGGAGACCACGTCCACTCTCCGGGTCTCTACCTCGGGACAGCTTCTAGTGTCCTATGTCAGACCACACATTCCCGTTTCGAATACCATACTCGCCAGATGGGTGCGATGGATCCTGTCACTGGAGGGTGTGGACGCTAGTTTTGGTGCTCACTCTCTGCCTTCTCGGTGGGCGCATCTTTGACGGATATCCTCCGGTCAGCGGACTGGTCGAGGGAATCTACCTTTCGGACATTCTACTTTCGTCCGAGTTCAGGTGCGGCTATGTCTCTTCTGCATCAGCGTTAAAAAAATGCAAAATAGGAAGCCTCCTGTCATGTGGTAAAATTGAAGATTATGCTAGCGCTAGTGTACTTATAATCTTAATTTTAGTAATGACAGGAGGCGAGTATTTTCCCACCCCCTCCCACCCTTGGGAAGAGTGGATGCACGTAAGTATAAATTTATATTTCCATGAACCTAGCTTGTATTGATATCGTTCTCTCCTCATGGTTTGGGTTTTGTTTACGTTCTTTATACATTGGCCATTAACCAGAGAGACTATTACTGTTATACTATGTTGGGTCGTTACTGCAACCAGTTTAAAGACCGGTGCCTAACCCATTTCACGTTCTCTTTTCAGTTTAAATCTGCGATGTTATCAGTTCGTTCCCCGATGGACACAGTTGGATCAGCCTTTACCTCCTGAGGTTTCGTTAATTGGACAAGCCAACCGTTGGTGCACGTTTCAGGACATTCTGGATCAGTTCGCATCCCGTGAAAGTCCGTTTCCGTGGGAAGCACCCGTTGGTGCATGTTACAAGATGTTTTGACTTTTTGGTTTACTGGGTTCTCTGATGTCGCTTCCGAAAGAGGGGGAGGAGCCTCATCACTGTGAATACTATACACCCTGTTGCATTTTGATTGGTTATCGTTTTCACTTTTCCTTACTGCTATGTGGAGTTAGTAAAGAGAGTTATATGCAAAATACTCGCCTCCTGTCATTACTAAAATTAAGATTATAATTACACTAGCATAATCTTCAATTTTTGAATATTTTGCTTAAGACTCTTTACTTAAGCTCCACAGCAGCACATTTAACATAGTAACAGAAAGAACCAATCAGAAGCTCTTCCTACTATTTCTAGCTGCGACACAAACAGGAACCGGATGATTGCTTAAGATGATAACCGAATAACCAAAGGAAACGAATCCAAGACCCAAGGATATGAATTTAAACTTGGCAAATGGAGGAAAAATGGAGTTGAAAAAAAAGTATTACTCGGATGAATTGAACTACTAAATGCATGTAGTCTGGAATGAAAAAACAGTAAACATTGTCTTTATATAGAAACACTCTATAAGGGTCACGTATTCATTCCCACATAAAAATGTGGTTAATGGCATTTACTGTCCTGACAGGAAAGGTTGTGCCAAGCAACATTACTGTCCTGACAGGAAAGGTTGTGCCGAGCAGCAATCAAATCCACAGGAGGGTTTGTGCTGAGCAGCAATCATGCAAATGAAAACCTGGTAATTGCCTTTGTGGTCAAAGGCCGGTTACAACCAATCAGATCCACAGGATGGGTAGTTAGGCCCAGTTCTCCTCTTGCTCAGTGCCCTGTCGTGGTTTCATGCCTATGGTTATCCGAGAGTGCGTTCCTGATCTTGAATTTCTGGTATTTGACTTTGGCTTTGTTTTGACTTCCCTGATATCTGGTATCCTTGACTTTCCCTCATCTTTGTGCCTGATTCTGTGTCCCTGACCTCGGCTAGTATTTTGATTATTCTTGGAGACGTTAAGTCCGGCCATTCTAAGGTCCGGTTATACGTTATCCTTAGCCCTAGGTGTGACACAGTACTGCGTGCTGGATCAACTTGTAATCTTGACAATAAGTTAGTGGATAATAGTGTTAAACAATAATGCACTGAAAATATGATGCTGGAAGTAAATTTGAGACAGTAAGAAAGAAAACATAGTACATAATGAAGACTTACCTGAAATGCAACGAAGCTGGGTCGGGTAACATATGGGTGGGAAAATATTCGCCTCCTGTCATTAATAAAATTAAGATTATAGATACACTAAAGCTAATACAATCTACAATTTTATCAAATGACAAGAGGTTTCATATTTTGCCGTTTTAATGCTCAGGCAATAATGCGAAGAATGCATGGGCCGTCGGCCGGAAATAAAATTGACGGAAAGTCTGTTCCCTTGACCAGTTTGCAGAACAGAGGATGTCTTGAAGTGAAGCAGCTGCCCCGAAGGCTCCCGAGGCCGCAGCTCCTCTGACCAAATGGGCTCCAAAAGGAGGAAGCAGTACGTGCCAAGGAGAGCAACCATCTGATCCATCATGCTAAAGTGGTAGAAGAGACTGGGGCATGAGGACGGACTTAAGAGCTCAAAATCCGTCCCGATCAAGAGGAACTTAGCGGTGAAGTGACTTCCGAATATCTGGAAAGACCAGACACTACATAAAGTTTTGGAAAATCCATAAAGTATGGATAAAAAAAAAGTGGATAAATCAGATTTCGTACGTCTGGAGATGGAGAAGGAAACACCCTCCAGGGGAAAGGTATAACCATCGCAGTCATAACCTCTAATCTCAGAGACCCGACAAAATGAAACAAGGCATAATAGCAAGGTGAATTTTGCTAATAACCGATGAAGAGAGAGTTGTGCATTTTCCGGCCAATCTTGAAGAAAACGGAGGACAATATTCACGTC